ACTAGCACCTATCTGCAGAATTGGCTGTTAAAACTAACAGCCTTTTAGACTTTTAAGATAACTTTTGAGAAATATGAGTATTTTCTGCTGAATGAGGACATGCCATGGTCGGGTTTGGTAGTTATTGAAGATTTCAGCAGATATGAGCACAAAATCTATCAGCGGATCCGCTTGGAGCAGCAGCGGACGGGACAATAGCCACCCATAAACTGCACCTTGGTTTGTAGATTATTCAAATATATCATAGATGACAAATGAGGTTCCCTCAAATTTTACTTCCAAGTCTCTAAGAGATAGAGGTGCAAACTGTTGCAATTGGAAGATTTAAGGAGACTTTCCTCCCAACTGCTTAGAATTAACCCAATAGTAATATTTTTGTTATATACAGATTATTTTAAATGAAATGTATTTCTATCAGGACTCGTTGAAAATAAAATAATTTGAATTGAAAATCCAAACAAATATAGACCTATACATTCTATCAAACTCCTCGTTTCCGTACAAAGAGCGCTTATTGGCAATTTTATTGGAAAGAAACATGGATTTACGCGGGAGCCAAACGTGTCAAACTTACCTCCTTCGTCAGCTTTTAGTGCTGAAGGCAGAAGAAGAGGCAGAATACATCCAAACAACAATAAACATGAATCCATCTTTCCCCCTAAGGTGTCGAAAAACCAAAAAAAAAAAAAAGAAAAAGAAAAAAGAAAAACACTCTCCTGTTTGTATTTATTTGTTTTTTTCTGGGTAAAAAAAAGTGTTCCGATCCTGAACTTTCCAGTCCTTTTTCTCAGTTCCTTCAGAGTCAACAATCACAATCCAAACGCCGGATTAAGTCTGTCATAAAATGCACATTCGGCTCTTGTAAACAGTTGAAACCAGTTATTGGCACTGCTTATTTTCAGTAGAAACCCACGATCAATGCAGCATCATTTGAAATCTGCCGGACATGAACTGCAAACACAGTTTTATTCCAGCGAAATCCATGTTGGTGCGCACAGTCCGGGTATACCCGAGTGATAAAACGCGTCTTGGAGATGATGTTGGAGAAAAGAAATACTGAAATAAATGTAAAAGAAAAAAAAGTCTAACTTGTTGACTAAGACGAGCCAGCAGGAGAATATTGAAAGAAATCAACGGAAATTTTAAACAGAAAATGTCTTAAAATCGGTGAAATATCTTTAAACCTTCCTTTACAACTCTTGAAAAGGGGCAAATTCTCATGTTTAATGTTCCTTTTTTATGTGCGGCCCAAACAGCACTTAGTTCTTAGGCAAATGAAAAGTGTATCTGTAAGGTGCAGATCCAGTTCCCGTGCGTAAAACTGCCCCGTAGAAAAGAAACGTGGTTCCTCTCCACTCCTCCTGCTCTTGGAAAGCTGTGCGTCTCTCCGCTGCAGCCCTCTCCTCTCCTCTCCACTACACTCCCTCTGCTCCTCCTCTTTACGCGCAGTAGCAGCAGCAGTCCTTGTGCCTCTGTGTGTCTCTCTCTCCCGGCAGGCAGGCTAAGGCAGTGCGCTCCTTCCTCCCCGATCTCCTCCGGGTTTGTGGCTCCGAGCAGGACTGCTCAGTTCACCCTGTTTCGGTGCGCGTGCACGCCGTGCATTCGAGAGCGTGTATCCGATTACAGTAGGCACCTCGGTCCGCCTCCATGTGGCCCCTAGCTGATTAAAGAGCAGCCTCATCTTGTCTCTTTTTGCATGATCACCTCTTAACATCCTACACGTTCTTACACCTTCATTTTCCTGTTAGATTTTTTTGTTTTATATATATATATATATATATATATATATATTGCCTTTGCTTTATTTGAAGCATTTTATCTTCCACATTTGTTATATATGCATTTCCAAAGTAGCATAATGAATGAAAAACTTTTTTATGTGTCTGTATCTTCATTTGAAAAACATAATTAAATATGCTTTATTTAGATTTTATAGGATACATAAAATAGTTATACAAAATGTATGAAAGATGAATTTTAGCAACATTTTTGTTTATAATTTCGTAGACACTATTTGGGAATAATGTCTCTAGCTTTGTCGCATCCAGAGCCAGACATGTTTGCCCGTTCCTTTTTGCGATTAGATCAAGCTAATTTGAATTGCATCAGGTGTGTAGGGACATCAGTTTTCAGGTTTCAAATCTACCAACAAATCTGGTTTGTTCTTTGACTGATTTTCGCACATCAATCCAACCTCTGGTTCCTCCGCTTTAAACATGTATTTTTAAAGGATCGCTATTCATTTAGCACTATTCATCGTTCTGTCAACTTTGACCAGCTCCCTGTACCCATTTAAAAAAAGAAATCCCCAGAGCACAAAGCTGCCTCAACAGTTTTTCTTTTATAAAGCCTTAAGATATTGGACAGCATTCTTAACTTGCTACAAACTATAGAGGTCTCAAAAAGTTAAGTTATGGAAGTATGAAATATTAACATTTTGGGAGAAGGATAATTAACCAAGGCTAGAATTTCCAAAAATAGAATGGGAGGCAGATCTCCTGTGGAACCAGCTACCAGTTTTAATCCGTGAGGCAGACACCCTGTCTACTTTTAAGGCAATACTTAAAACTTTCCTTTTTGATAAAGCTTATAGTTAGAG